GGCCCCCCAAACAGCCTAAAAATGGCCCAGAAAACAGCCTGAAAACGGTCCACAAAATGGCCCCCCAAAACAGGCTGAAAAAGAGGCGGGGCCATCAGGGGTGGGATTAGCCCCACCCGCCTGAATCCTATCTCTGCCCTTGAGGTGAGAGTGGCCAGTAGGCGGAGCTGGGCGTGATGACTGACATCACCCACCCAGTCACGTGACCAACCGGCCACGCCTACACAGCCGGAGAACCGGTTGTTAAATGATTCCAATCATACCACTGGCCTCGACTTATGGCCACAGTTACAAGCAGTCCTCGACTTACAACCGTTCGTTTAGTGACGTTCAAAATTTGCAACGGCACTGAGAAAAGAGACTGATGACCATTTCTCACACTTATGACTGTTGCAGCATCCCCATGGTTAGGTGAAGAAAAATTCAGCGGCTTGGCAACCGACTCCTATTTATGACAGTTGCCGTGTCCCAGGGTCATGTGATTTGCTTTTGCGACCGTCGGACCAGCAAAGTCAACGGGGAAGCCAGATTCACTTAAAAACTGTATTATTGACTTAACCATGGCAGTGATTCACTTAACAACGGTGATAAGAAAGGTTGTAAAGTGAAGCAAAGCTCACTTAACAAATGTTTCACTTAGCAACATCAATTTTGGGGGTCAACTGTTGTCGTTAGCTGAGGACTACCTGGATTGGAGAAACAAGAGGAGGAAATGGAAAGGAGATCACAGGGAAATCACATGGAAATGTCCGGATTGCAGAAATCAAAATCCTCCCCTGTTGTCACCCAGAAACCCACATGATCCTGAGGGGGTCCAGCTTGATTTCAATGAGACTTTAATTTTTGTGCTGTTGCGAATGTTTGAAAAATGTAAGCTGGCCCTTGTCAGATTCACTAGGATGGGAGACCACCAGGAGAAGCCACAGCCAATCTGTTCTGCAATGGCAGCCGAGAAAACTACCAGGACATATCCTTGAAGATCTCAACAGTCAAAGGAGAATTTTTGGGTCAAGAATTGTCTACAATTGTCTAGATCCGAGATGGTGTGTTTTTGTTACTCCAGGGTTCAGGTTTGCAGTCCTCCAGGGCTGGCATCTTCCCTGTCTATGGTAGTCCACCTTTTTCCCAACTGGCACCCCGTCAATCCATATTTCTCATTCTTAACGACTTTCAGATAGGTGGACTTCAATTCCCAGAATTCCCCAGCCAGCCATGCTGGCTGGGGAATTCTGGGAGTTGAAGGCCACACTTCTTAAAAGTTGTCAAATTTGAGAAACATTAGAAGGACCATTCAATAGAGCTATTGGCAAGAGCTTCCAGGGGAACTCAGTCAAAAAAGTCAAGATGGCAGCTATTAAAGCCCACCCCTTAAAAAAAAACAACAGGTTGTCCATAACTGTAGATGTCATGGAGACATTTTTTGACTCCCAAGCTCAGATTGTGACACCTCTTACGCCATCTTGGTCCTTAGCTATTTTTGACCACGCTGGTTCTATCCAGAAAAGCCGCTGTTTTTGTTTTTAAATACATACCGGCACACTGGAGCCCACACATTCACACGTTGCGTTCCCAGACCCTTGTTCCACCAAGGTTCCCAAATCTTTACAGCGGAGCTTGTGCTGTAATGTAATCCAGTCTTCGTCAAGCTTTGCCTCTTTTGAGACGGGTGGACTTCAACTCCCAGAATGCCCCAGCCAGCACCGCTGGCCTGGGAAATTCTGGGAGTTGAAGTCCACCCGCCTTAAAGGGACAGAGGTTGAGAAACCTTGCGGTAGACCCTTCCTAGTCTTCACCACCAGGTGAGTTCTTGATTTCCCAGCTACCCGGCGTGGCTTCATCCGTTGAACAGCTACCTCTACGAAAACCAAAAAACAACAACACTAGCTTTCGTTCCGTCCTCAGAAAGTTTCCTTCGCTGACCGATCGTCTTCTCCCCCCCCCCCAAAAAAAGGCAGAAGAAGGAGCAGCATTGAAATAAATAACAGGAATAAATAAATTAAGGAATAAATAAATTAAGGAATAAATACGACCACCGTGTTTCCAAAGAGTGGCGCGTCACCCATAATAGTGTCCAAAGGAGTCCAAAGTTTCCCGCAGGGTGCGAAGGCAAGCAGGGATCAAATGAGGAAGGGGAAGGGGTCCCTTGGGAAGACCTTGCTGGGCGTTTTATTGCTTTTGTTGAGTTGAAGGATGGGGACAAAGGAAGTCAGAAAGCAGATGGGCTTTGTGGTCCGTTTTGGCTCTCTTCCCCAAAACTCCTCCTAGCTGGATTCACACAACGCGTCAAACCCTACGTCGGGTTGACCTGACGCCGTTCCTGCGTTCACACAATACGCTGGGCCCAAACCAACCCCTTTATTTATGGCTTCACGCACCTGGTTGAGGCAGCAGGGCAGGGGGTAACTCCGGATTGGAACCGGGGGGGGGGGTGGTGTGCCCAGCCTCAAACTTCATCCAGGTACAAATCAACATCTTCATTCTTTCAGCCGTCGTTCATTCATTCGTTCCTCCGTACACGTTCTCTCCACTCAGTGAGTGAGCGAATCGGAAGGTTGCCACGGCAGTGGTGGGATTCAATTTTTTTTTTACGACTGGTTTGGTGGGTGTGGCTTGGTGGACGTGGCAGGGGAAGGATACTGTAAAACCTCCAGTCAGAGGTGGCGTTTGCCAGTTCTCTGAACTACTCAAAATGTCCGCTACCGGTTCTCCAAAACTGGTCAGAACCGGCTGAATGCCACCTCTGTGCCGCAGGTACGATGTGTCAGCATTTGCAGGACCGGGAAACCCCACTGCAGCCTGGTTCTGGAGTGTCGTGCAAATCCAGCCACAGATAAGCATGCACGCCACATGCTTAAGCCAGGGGTTTGAAGCCATTTGTCGTCGAGGTTTGCAACAGTTCTTCCAACGCATGAATGAATCGAAGGTTTGGAGACAGATCGCCCTCCGGAGGGCTTCACCTACAAGTGTACGGGACCTGAGCAAAGCTAAGTTACGAACCAAACTTAGCACGTTGGGAAGGTGTATCGACCGCTGTGACTTCGTTGGGTTGTGCCTGTTGTGTGAACCCAGCCAGGGAGTTGTAGGAAGAGAGTTTCGCTGAGGTTGCCGTGCTCGTCTTCCGTTGGAAGACACCGTTCCCCGTAAACGTGGTGTCCTGCGATTCTTCCCGTGGATCCTCCCGGCTCCAGCGAGGTTCCTTTTGTGTGTGTGTGAGAGAGATGTAGGAATCCTCCCCAGGACGACCGGAGGAGGCTGCAGGCGTGGGACCCACTCCCTGTCCCTAACGGAAGGGGTGGGGAGTCAGTTCTCTGCTGGGCAGGCGTGTTCCGGCCCTTTGAAGCAGGCCGATTCATAGTGTTTGTGGAGGTAGGATTTGAGAGCGAAAGTCTTGTGGCATTGCTTGCAACGGTAGTGCTTGAGCGCCGAGTGGGTTTGCATGTGCGCCCGCAGGTTGGAGCGGTCAGCAAAGGCCTTCCCGCAGTGCGAACAGCCAAAGGGCTTCTCCCCAGTGTGCGAGCGCATATGTCCCTGCAGCAGCCACGGCCGGCTGAAGGCCTTACCGCACACGGCGCACTTGTGTTTGAGGTTGTGCGTCAGCAGGTGCATGGCCAACGCCGGCATGGAGACGTAGGCCTTGCTACACGTCGGGCACTTGCGCGCCAGCTTGCTGTCCAGACTGCGGTGCGTCTGCTTGTGCCGGCTGAGGTTCGAGGAGGTGGCGTAGGTCTTGCCGCATTCGGTGCAGGCATGGCGGTGGGCGCCACGACGAGGACCCTCGGCCCGCCGGCGGGACCGCCCGTCGATGATGAAGAAGGCGTCCATGGAGTAGCTCTCGGTGACGGCTGCCTCACCCTGGAAGTAGTGGGACGAGAGGCTGGATTGGGGGCTCTCAGGGTCGCTGTAGTCCTCCTGGATTGGGGTGTAAAGGGGGTCAGGAGAGGCCCCCCGGCGGTGGGCTTTCTTCTTCTCATTCTTGTGACCTGAGGATGGGAGGCAGGCTGGGATGTACCCTGCGGGAGAGAACAGCACATGGAAAATGTCCGGTAGTCAACCAGCCCCTCTCCACCAATAATCAGCACCCAGACCAGCATAGGTTAACTCCAAGGTTAACTTCCGACCCTCCCTCCACTTCCTTCCTTACTTCCTTCCTTCCTTCCTTCCTTTCTTCCTGCCTGCATGCTTTCCACCCCTCCCTTCCTGCCTGTTTTCCCTTCTACCTCCCTCTGCCCTTCCTTCCTTCCTTTCTTCCTGCCTGCCTGCTTTCCATCCTTTCCTCCTTCCTTCCACCCCTCCCTTCCTGTCTGTTTTCCCTTCCTTCCTTCCTTCCTTCCTTCCTTCCTTCCTTCCTTCCTTCCTTCCTTCCTTCCTAAGATGGGATGGGATAGCGATAGGATAGATGGAAGGTGGACAGAGAGAGGTAGGGAGGGAGGAAGAGGGAGGAAAAGGGAGAGGAGAGGAAGTTGTGCTTAGATATACAAACAGGCAGATTGGACTATGGTTAGCATTAGACTAGAAAGTAGAAGACAATGAGTTCTAGTCCCACTTTAAACAGGAAAACTGGCTGGGTGACCTTGGGCCGATCGCCAGGAGACGGTGAGTTCTAATCTCCCCCTTAGGCATGAAAGGTAGTTGGGTGACTGTGGGAAGCCACCCCACTCCTAGAAGAATGGAGTATTTTGCGGAATATTAAAAAAAAAGAGGCAGGATAAAACATTTCCCCTAAAAGAGAAATATAAAAATCTTAAAGGAAACCAAAGCTCAGAAGCCCCCCAACTTCCTGCCGCTGAGCAGATATTTTGTGCCGATTAAGAAAGACTGGGCCAGCCTATCTACAAAACAAAAGACGATCCGCTCCAGAAATCCTTCAAGACAAAATAGGATTAGCCCACTACCCTCTAGCAGCAGAGCTCACTGCATTGTGCCACAATCTCCTAAGGACGTCGCATCCCCCTCCAAACTTCAACCAAGCTTAGCTCAGACAAACACCTAGGATTTGTACTTTGCCCGTAGAGCCATCTATGACCCCTACATAACCCCTCCATGGGCCCATGGGAATCTGACAACAGCCAATAGAATACACGTTCTTGTAACAGGAACAGGAAGTCCAAGGGCAAGGCCCAAGAGAAAGTACAAACCCCA